GTTTCATGCCATTGTGATCTGAGAAGATGCTTGATATGATTTCAATCTTCTTGAACTTGTAGAGATTTAGTTTGTGTCCTATCATGTGGTCTATCTTTGAGAATGTCCCATGTGCACTTGAGAAGAATGTGTATTCTGTAGTTTTGGGGTGTAATTCTCTGTAGATATCTATTAAATCCATTTGGTCTAGTGCTTCATTTAGAGTCTCTGTTTCGTTGCTAATTTTTTGCCTAGAGGATCTATCCAGTGCTGTCAACGGGGTGTTGAAGTCCCCTGCTATGATTGTATTGTTGTAGATTTCTCCTTGGAAGTCCTCCACAAGATTTTTAATATATTTTGGTGCTCCTATATTGGGTGCATATATGTTTATCAAGGTTATATCTTCCTGTTGGATAGATCCTTTCAATATTATGTAGTGGCCGTCTTTGTCTCTAGTTATGGTCTTCATTTTGAAATCTATTTTATCAGATATGAGAATTGCTACCCCAGCTGTTTTTTGCTTTCCATTTGCTTGGAAAATTTTTTTCCATCCCTTCACTTTCAACCTATGTGAGTCTTTTGTTGAGAGGTGGGTCTCTTGTAGACAACATATAGATGAGTCATGCTTTCTTATCCAATCAGCTACTCTGTGTCTCTTTATGGGAGCATTCAATCCATTAACGTTTAAGGTGATTATTGATATGTACTTATTTATTGCCATTTTTGTTTAGTGTGGTTCTATTTTTCTTCCCATTTCTACTGCTAATTACAGCAGTCCTTTTAACATTTCTTGCAGTGCTGGTTTGGTGCTAATGTATTCCCTTAGCCTTTTTTTGTCTGGGAAGCTCTTTATTTGACCTTCTATTTTGAATGATAGCCTTGCTGGGTAGAGTAGTCTTGGATTCAGATTCTTGTTTTTCAGGACTTTGATTACTTCATGCCATTCTCTTCTGGCCTGTAGTGTTTCTTGTGAGAAGTCAGCTGAGAGCCTTATGGGGTTCCCTTTGTAGGTAACCTGTTGCTTATCTCTTGCTGCTTTTAGGATTCTCTCTTTGTCTTTAATTTGTGGCATTTTAATTACTATGTGTCTTGGTGTGGGCCTGTTTGGGTTCTTCTTACTTGGGACTCTCTGTGCTTCTTGAACTTGAATGCCTTCTTCCTTCACCAAATTAGGGAAGTTTTCTCTCACTATGTTTTTGAATATATTCTCTATCCCTTGCTCATTTTCTTCTTCTTCGGGGACTCCTATGATGCGAATATTATTACGTTTCCAGTTGTCCCATAGTTCTCTTAAGCTGTCTTCCTGTTTTTTAATAGTTTTTTCCTTTTGTTTTTCTGATTGGTTGATTTTTTCTACCCTGTCTTCTAATTCACTGATCCAGTCCTCAGCTTCCCCTACTCTGCTTTTTAAACCTTCCAATGTGTTCTTCATTTCTGATATGTCATTTTTTATCTCTTCTTGTTGGTTTTTAATTTCCAATTGGCTTATTTTCAGTGTCTCTATGTCCTTACTCATGCTGTTCAGCTTCCTCATGATCATGGCTCTGAATTCTAGCTCTGTTAACATGCCTAATTGCTCTGCATTGATCTCATCTTCGGTTGAGGTCTCTTGTTCTTTCATTTGGCTTCTGTTTCTGTGTTTCACCATTTTGGCTATCACTGTGGGCTTTGGAGCCTGTCAAGTTCTCCCTGTGGGTGTTGGTGTTCTGCTGTTTGTGGCTCCCTCTCCTGTGTTTAGATGAGCGAGGGAGGACCCGCGTTGAACACCACTGTCAAGTCTTACTTTCCTGGTTAAAGTTGCCAGCCCAGGAAACGTACTGTTATCCTCTAGCTTTTTGCCTGGAGGCTAGCAGTCTAGGTTACTTGATGAGTTTTGGGTTGTCAGTTGATTGAAAAACTCCCTCTGGTGCTCAGCCAAGGGGCTTTCAGGAGGGTGGGGCAGATGCTGGTTGTTAGTGAGCCTCAATCAGCACTTCAATGGCCCACAGGGTGGGGTTGGATCTCCGAGGGAGGGGCTGCTGCCTCTCCTCAGAGCCCTGGGAAGGAGCAATGTGGCCACCGTCCTGAGTGGCTGCACTCAGCCAAAGCTCTGAGCGCCCTCCAAACCCCGAGTGTCCCGACACAGTTCCAGTCCAGTCCGCCCTCCCTCCGCCGGAGCCCAAGGTGAGTGGCTGTGGATGTTTCAGCCTCTGTCCCGGCTGCGCTGTGGAGCCGCCTGGGAGTGTGACCCGAGGGCGCCGCTCCCAGCTGTGGCCGCTGTCGAGCTGCCGACCGTGGGCTCCCAGCCCCGTCTCGCGCCTTCGCAAGCCTACCGGGATCGAGTCGGTGTCCCTCGTTGTATGGTCCTCGCAAGCTGCTTTTCTGTTGGTTTTTCCCGTCGATTTGTCTGTGTTATAGTTGTAATTCCAGTTTGGTTCTGGGAGACGGTCTGTGCAGCTCCGTTCACTCCGCCGCCATTTTTCGGTTCCTCGGGATCTTTCTTATAAGAACAAACAGTTAGATGCATTCAGGGCCCAGCTGAATAATCCAGGATAATTTTTCTAGCTCAAGATCCTTAGTTTAATCAGGTGTAAAAGAACATTTTTCCATATAAGGCAATTTTTTCACAACCTCCAGGGATTAGGAGCTGATATCTTTAGGAGCCATTATTCAGTCTACTGTACACATGTATCCAGCACCAGAATTAAACCTGTTTTCTTCCTCTTACCAAGGTAATAGGTTTTTCTGGAAGTGTCTACCTTTTTGTTCTTACCAGCAGTCTGATCTCCATGAATCAGGAAGAAAAAGATAAATTATTCTTAAATCTTTCTTCTCACCTCCTCTCCCTGGTCAAATCCTACAAAATCTACTGTCTCTCCCTGTAGCAACACATGGGTCATCTGGGTGCCTCTTTCCACTGTTCCTGCCACCAACCTACTTCAGTCTTTCATTGCTTCTCACACAAGCTATGGCGGTAGGCATTAAAATAGCCTTTTCACCTTTACTCCTTCACCCAGTGCAGGACTATAATGCTCAATCCTGATTATGCTCCTTTTACCCCCTTCTAAAACCTCCAGTGGAATACACTCCCCAGTTGCATAATTATTTTGGTGTTCAGTCTTTATAATCTCTTTTTTCTCTCTTGACCTCTCCCTTAGCTAAGATATATTTAATTCTTAATACACACTGGACACTATCCTACACTAAAAGTAATATGATTTTTACAACAAACCTATGAATCAGATACTTTGATTACAATGATTTATGTAAGTAATCCAAGGCAGAGAGTAACTACTCTTCCAGGGTTACATGCCAACAGAACCCTAGGGATTCTTGCAAAACTCCAGAGTAGAGGGAGCCAGGAAGTTGCCAACCCAGGCATTCTAAATCGAATGTCTCTTATTTACCCACTAAGCTTTACTCTTTCTATCTTTTCTCCACTTTTTCAAACTGTGCATGCATATTTTGTCTTTTGTAAATAACCTCCGCTGTGGCTAAATTGGATTATTAATGGTTCACTAAATCCACCTCATGGCTTGATTCCTCTACATTTTTACCAGCTGAATAATTTCTTTTGGTGGAAAATCTCTCAATATAGTTAGCTTATCTCAAATGTCAATTCCTGCAGGAATCTTTTTTTTTTTTTTTTTTTTTTTTTTCTGTTTCTTTTCAAACTGAACGTGATCGTTCTTTTCCTAAAATGAAGGGAAAGAAAATTCAGATAGAATTGATCATTGTTTCGATTATGATTGTAATTGTGTCACAATCATACAGCTTTAGTTCTGGTCTTCTTTCTGTCCTGGAACATGGCCATTGGGCATCATGCCTGCCACACAGGCAGAATATCTGTTGCCATGTGGCACTCACCCTTGGAAAGGAGACACTAGCATTCACTTGAATGGAAGAATAGTGATGGACTATTTTGCGGATCAGACATTTTTAATGAATGCAATTGTTATAATTATTTAGAGAATGTGTTGGGCTTAATTTATACAGACTTTGGCTAAATAAAATAAACATATTTTAATGAAGTTATTTCTTTCCCTTCTCCAAAGCTAGAAAATATGTGATAAACAAAGAGAAAAATAGATTAACATCCACAATTGTGAGGGTCCTTTGGGTTCTTGCAAAGCTCAAGCTGTGCCAAGTGCAGTGCAACAATGTAACACATGTCTCTTTCTTTAAATAACTTTTAAGACCTGAGAGAACTACACTCCAGCATGTTTCTTATCAACCTTAGGGAATTCACAATGATTTAGTTATTACAGTTTCATTCATAAACCTAATCTCTAAAAGATGTACATAAATCAGTTACCAAGTATCATTTTGGTCATCTTTTTGAGACCTATTAAATATGTGCATAGGGAATAATAATGTTAAAACTTTTGTGTATGGTAAAGTAATTTTGTTTTATGTATTGAAAGTTCCTTTAAAACTTGAAATATTTTCTAGAAGGGTGCCAAACAAAATGAATCATCTTTAAGCTGTTTAATTAACCTAATAAAACAATTTGATAGGGAAAATTTTTTTTAAATCAAAGAAAGGCAGGAAATTGAACAGTTTGTACAAATAAAGGAAAATGTAAGTATCCAGGAAAATTTATATTAAAGATCCTACATTTTTAGGGGCCACAAATCTGGTTATTTCTGTACAGCTGAAGAAAATGAGAAAACTCGGTCAGTAAACTCAATCAGTGACAAGAGTCTAACACTCCAAAACCTAAAAGTGAACCAGTTGGGTTCCTAGCCCTAAGACATTAGATTAGCACAAGCTTTTAAGAAAGAGAGTGCTCAGAGCTAGTGACAAACTCGGTATTATATCCCTAGTGAACACTGCTGGATGCCCTGTAGGCTTTTTTTATGACAGTCGGCTCATGTAGGTCAGTGACCTAATGGCAAAGTTCAGTTCTTTTGATTTCTTTTATGAAGGGCCACGATGATATGACCCAGGCTTTTAACTCCCTTTTCTAGGGGTTATAAATGGACTATAATATATTTATTTTATAAGAAATATGTGTCTTAACAGTAATTACGACTTCACAGGTGCAAGTTATCAGCTTTGCCACAGAACATAATTGGGATTCTCTGGACTTTTATGATGGGGGAGACAACAATGCCCCGAGACTTGGAAGTTATTCAGGTAAATAAGAGAGCTGAGCTTAAAGTACAGTTACACTTGGTCATTGTAAAATCTTTCTCTTTAAAAAAGAAAATGCTCCCTTCAACTCTGACTTGGTAGTTTCAATTTGCTTTTTATAAAGTATATGCAATGAACTAAATCACATAGAAGTTTGAAAGGCTTTAAAGGTAATAAAAAAAAAATTGCTGTTTAAAACTTTACTATATTTTTATTATATTTGTATAATTGTTTTTTGATGCTTTTATGTTAAGAGTAATATAGAGCATCCCCCAAAAGAAGTATACACTACATTGATTAATATTAAAGCCAGTGTTTATTAAAATACATTTCATTTTCAAAATATAATAGAATCTACAGACACCTTGTGTATATTTTTTAGGGACGCCCTGTATTTTCAGCTGTGTTTCAGCAATCATATGTGTGTTGTACACCTTACCCTTAAGAAAAATAAAAAAAGAATGGACAATAAGAATTAAACAGTAAACAGTTCCTAGTAATTATGGTATATCTACATAATAGAATGTTATGCAGCCATTCAATTACAGAGACTGTGTAAAAGCTACAAGGTACTACTGAGTGGAAATAAAGAGAATGTATAATTATTTCTACTACATAAATAAAATTGTATATGTATACATATGTACCAATTAGCAGGTATTAAAATTTGTTAAGATTTGAAGGGTAATTTACGCAATAATCCAACAGCTTCTTTTAGCATATAAAAAGTGAAATGAAGTTTAATTTTAATTTAAACTATACATTTTACATTAACTTTAATTATAGTAGAAATATGAATATAAATTATTGACTTATACATTTTACATATACCGAAATAAGTTCAAATGGTTTTAAGTTATATATATATTTAAAGATTTATATATATTTACATGTTATATATATATATATATATATATATATTTAAAGAGTTTTACATTTATTTTTAGAGATAGAGGAAGGGAAAAGAGAGAAACACCGATGTAAGAGTGAAACCTCATTTGTCTGACTCCTGCACACCCCCTGCTGGGGACTGAGCCAGAACCCAGGCACATGCCCTGCCTGGGAATCGAACCAGCGGGGAAGGACACCCAGCCAACTGAGCCACAAAGGCCAGTGCTTTAATAGATTTTTAAATGGTGTATGATAACAAGTTTTTTAGCATCACCACTGAGGAAAGTAAAGAAGAAATATCTAGAGTAGGAGTAACTTGGTTTAGGCATAAAACATATTTTAGATATTTAGACAGAAATCTTTCCTGAAAAAAAAATCTTTATAAAATTTTGAGTATACGTTTTTTAGATTAGGGATAATACATTCTTAATAATAAATACAACAATGAATGGGATAAGAGTGATAAATAACCTGCTCACGATGACCGAGTGTTAGCTCTGTGTGAGGCTTGTTGTGCATGTCCTCATTGGATATTTCTAGCAGTCCTTATTGGTGACGGGGGCTTAGAGAGGTGACGTTGCCCAAGGTTGTACAGCTAATGCTAGAATGAGGCTGGGGTCCAGCTGAGATAACAGCAGTCAGAGGACTAAGACATCCTCTAAGGCATGAAAGGCAGGTTGAATGACCTTTGAGTTTTTGTCATCCTCTGTCATCACATTGTTAAGACACGATGGACTGAGAGCAAGCTCAGGGGAGAAAAAAAGCATTTGTGTGTTCTGTAATGAACCCATCAGGATCTTTTTTTTTAATAGAAGAATCAGTGGTTAAGGTCCACAGAATTGCACAAAGCAACTGTACAGTAACTAGTTATTTAAGATGTTTGCAACACTATTGTAATCTTAAGCATCTTAAACTATTACTCAATGTCAAATAACCAAGAAGTATTTGGTTTCTGCAAATATTTTATATTTTCACTCAATAATTGAAAAAACTAAAGTGATTTTCTTTAGAAGTTTATAAGAACATCATTATAATGCATTTGCTGAGAGACAAGCCTAACACTAGCTCATATTTGAGATTTTTTAAAATGATAACTACCAACTTTGCTGTCAGAGTATAAGAACTATCTTAACATCTTGACCTGGTATAAAATGTACTTAACCTGGTATTCATAAGAAAGGGCAATCAATGAATATATCCTCAGAACCCATAAGTGAATATACCCTAAAAATTACATACAAACTTTAAAATTAAGTGTATGGAATATTGAAGCCCACATGAAATTCAAAGTATCTATTTTAGGTGACCATAACATTTACTGCTCTGACTTTCTCAGCTCTCTCTGCTCCTATCTATTTTCAGGGAGCAATCTAAAGTGCTCTCAAAGATCTGTCTCCTTGGAGATAGTCAGGAACAATAAAATAAAAGAGAAAGGTGGGAGAAATATTTTTAATAAAAAAATTATTGAAATACGCTTGACTAACACATAATTTTAGTGATAACCTATTGGCTGATTAGTAGTTAACTTACTTAATTTTATTATAGTATTTATTATGTGATCAATGACCTGCCTTTTCAATGATCATTTCAGGAACAACAATACCTCATCTTTTGAACAGTACATCTAACAATCTATATCTAAATTTTCAATCAGACATCAGTGTTTCTGCTGCAGGATTTCACCTGGAATACACAGGTAAATATAATATGTGCTATAGAGGAAAGTTAAGAACAAGTTTATATTAATTTTTAAATAGGATTTTTCTGAATATAGAAATTAAATGGCATTTGTCAAAAGAGAACATTTGGCTTATTTTGTTTTAAGATTTTGATGTGTTCCTTCAATTCAGTTACTAAACTATATGTATAAAGTTCTGATTTTCATCAGAATTTACAAGGTATTTTTTATTGTGAAAACATAACATTATATATACACTCTTAACATTTGTACGTGCACAATACAGTTGTATGAACTATGGGCACAAATACAGCAGATCTGTAGAACCTACTCATCTTGCATGAGTTAAACTTTATACTCGTTGAATGGCAACTTCCCGGTCCTCCCTCCCCTCACCACTGGAATCAACATTCCGCTCATTTCTAAGAGGTCCCCTGTTTGATATTCCACATGTAAATGAGATCATACAATATCTGTTTTCTCTGTCTGGCTTAGTTCACTTAGCATAACATTCTCAAGGTCTATCCATGTTGTTGAAAATATCAAGATATCCTTCTTTTCCATGGTTTTAATAATATTATATTTTACATATATATAAAAAACACATCTTCATCTCTTCATGTAGGTGGACATGTAGTGTGTTTTCATATCTTGGCTATTAATGATGTTGCAATGAACATAGAGTACAGGTATCTGTTTCAGATCCTGATTTTATTTCCTTTGGATATATACCCAGAAATAGTACCACTGGATCATGTGATACTTCTATTTTTAATTCTTTTAGAGACTTTTATTGTAACTGTACCAACTTACATAGCATAGTACAAGGGTTCCTTGTTGCGACATCCTCACCAATACTTGTTATTTAATTTTTATAATAGTCATTCTAACATGTTTGGGGTGACATCTCCTGTGCTTTTGACTTACATTTACTTGACATTTAGTGACGTTGAACAAATTTTCATGTACCTATTGGCCATTTGCATGTTTTCTTTGGAAAAATGTATTTTAGATACTCTGCCCATTTCTATTGATTATAAGAATTCCTTATATATTTTGAATATTAACTGCTTTTTTAGAAAACTTTTATTAGTATTTATTTTATGCTAAATATACTCCCAGATCATATTTTTTGTTTCTTCTGGGTTATCTTTTTCTTCTGTGCAACCTCCCCTTCTGGTTTAGGAAGCACCTGCTCTTTCTCAGAGAGGATTATCTCAGTGTAGCAGGCAGAGCTCGTGTGTGGGTTAATCCGCCCAGGAGCCCTGTACGTTCTACTCCGCATCTGGGGAGCTTTGTTCACCTGGATGTGCTCACTGACCAGAAAATCTACATCTAAACCGTTAAATTCAGCATTGATCTGCAATTCAAGCTTGTGCAGCAAAAATTCCCCATTCTTTCGGGGCCATTGACTCTGTGTCCAGACCCATTGTTTGGCCTGGGCACAGCTACCAACTGCACTATTATAATGACAGAATGACACACACTGCTTCTGTAAAGTGACATCCTTCAAATACTTGGTGGCTTTTTGGATATGCATACTCTTAATGGTCTAGGGAGTTTCACAAGTGTTCTTAAACGTGAACTCGAAAATTTGAATATCTTCATTTGCATGATTTGGTGGGGTTTCTGGGTAAGGTGAATAGCAAACCATTTTCAGAGGTCACCTCAGTCTCCTTATGGGAACAGAGAGTGGACATTAACTCCTTATCAGTAAAATACTTTTACATATAATTTTCTCTATTTTATAGGTTGCCTTTTGATTCTGTTGTTACTTTTGCTAAGCAGAAGCTTTTTCAATTTGATGTAGTCCTATTTACTTACTTATTTTTCTTTTGTTGCTTGTGTTTTTGGAGTCATATAAAAAAAATTGTTGCCAAGACCAATGTCAAGGAGCTTTTTTTTCTATATTTTCTTCTAGAACGTCTACATATCAGGTCTTATGTTTAGGTCTTTAAACCATTTCCAATTAATTTTTGAAAGTGGTGTAAGATGGGGATCCAATTTCATTCTGCATATGATTATCCAATTTCCCCAGCACCATTTACTGAAGAGACTATCTTTTCCTCATTGAGTATTTCTTATTCCCTTGTCAGATGTAATTGACTAGATATGTGACAGTTTCTGGGCTATTGATTCTGTTGTATTGGTCTAAGTGTCCATTTTCATGTCAGTATCATACTTTTTGATTATTCTAGCCTTTCTAATACTGTTTGAAATAATAAAGAATGATGCTTCTAGTTTTTGTTGTTGCCCTTTTCGGGATTGTTTTGAGAATTTGGGATCTTTTGTGATTCCAATTGAATTTTATGATTTTTTTATGTGAAAGAAGTTATTGGTCTTTTGATAGGGATTGCATTGAATCTATAGATGGTTTTGGGTAGTATGGGCATTTTAACAATATTAATCCTTCCAATTCATGAATACAGAATATTTTTTCATTTATTTGTGTTTCTATATTATCTTTTATTAAACTTTTATAATTATCAGTGTACAGATCTTTTACCTTCATGCTTAAATTTGTCCATTATTTTATTGTGTTTTATATTATTGTAATTGGAATTTTTTTTATGTTTTTATTTTGTTAGTTTATAGTAATAAAACTAATGTCTGTATGTTGATTTTATATCCTGCTTCTTTATTAGATTTATTTATTAATTCTATCTTTTTTTGGTGGAGTCTTTAGGGTATTTTGTATATAAAATCACATTATCTGCCAACAAAGACAGATTTGTATATTTTGCCTTTTTGATTTTTTTTTCTTATCTAATTGCTCTGCAAGGATTTCTAGTACTATGTTAAATAGGAGTCATGAGATCCTTAGTTCTTGTTCCTTATCTTAAAGAAAAGGCTTTCAACCTTTCACCATTGCATGTGTTAGCTTTGGGCTTTTCATATATGGCCTTTATTATGTTACAGTGAATTTTTTGCATACCCATTTTGTTGAGAGTTTTTATTATGAAAGAATGTTGTATCTTATCAAATGCTTTTTCTACATCTGTTGATCATATGTTTCTATGGTTCATTCCAATAATGTGATATACTGTATTTATTGACTTTGACATGTTGAACCATCCTTGCATCCCATAAATACCACTTGATGGTGATGGTCTATGATCCTTTTAATGTGTTGAACTTGATTTGCTGATAGCTTACTGTGGATTTTTGCATCTACATTCATCGGGCATATTGTCTTGTACTTTTCTTCTCTTGTAGTGTCTTTGGCTATGGTATGAGGAAAATGCTAATCTTATAAAATGAATTTGAAATGGTTTCCTCTCCTCTAGTATTTTGAAATAATTTGAAAAAGTGCAATGTTAATGCTTTAAATGTTTGGTAGAATTGACCCATGAAGCTACCTGTTCCTATACTTTTCTTTGCTGGGAGATTTTTATTATTGTTTTTTTTAAATTTAAATCATTTTTTTATTTTTCAGTTATAGTTGACATACAACAGTATATTAGTTTCAGGTGTACACCTCAGTGATTAGACATTATATAACCTACTAAGTGATCATCCCATTAAATCTTATACTCATCTGACACCCTGCATAGTTATTAGAGTATTATTGACTATATTCCCTATGTTGTACTTCATATCCCCATGACTATTCTGTAACAACAAATTTGTACTTCTTAATCCCTTCACCTTTTTTACCCATTTTCCAAAACCCCCTCCCATCGGGCAGTCATCAAAATGTTTTCTGTATCTATGAGTCTGTTTTTGTTCTGCTTGTTTATTTATTTTGGTGTGTTGTTTATTTTTTTAGGTTAAATTGTTGATAGATATGTATTTATTGCCATTGTATGGTTTGCACTTTTTATCTTTTTTTCTTCTTAAAGAAAACCCTTTAACATTTCATGTGATACTAGTTTGGTGGTTATAAACTTCTTTAGCTTTTTCTTGTCTGAGAAGCTCTTTGTCGGTCTTTCTATTCTAAATGGGAGCTTTGCTGGGTAGGATTGGTAGTAGGTCCTTGTTTTCCATCACTTGAAACAGTTTGTGTGAATCCCTTTTGGCCTGCAGAGTTTCTGTTGAGAAATCAGTTGACAGTCTTCTTGGTGTTCTAGTGTCGGTAACTAACTGCTTTTCTCTGCTGCTGCTTTTAAGGTTCTCTCTTTTTCTTTGATCTTTTGAATTTTATTTATGATGTGTCTTAGTGTGGGCCTCTTTGGGTTCATCTTGTTTGGGACTCTCTGAGTTTCCTGGACTTGTATGTCTATTTCTTTCACCATATTAGGGAAGTGTTCCGTCATTATTTTTTCAAATAGTTTTTCAATGTCTTGCTCTCTTTCTTCTCCTTCCAGCACCCCCGTGATAAGAATGTTTGTTCACTTGAAGTTGTCCCAGAGGCTCCTTACACTATCCTCGTTTTGTGTTTGTTTGTTTGTTTGTTTTTCTTAACTTATTTTGTTATTCTGGTAGGGTGTTTTTTGTTTTCTTATATTCCAAATTGCTATTTTAATTATTGATTCATCTAGTTTAGTGTTGATTCCCTGTAAATTATCCTTCATTTCTGCTAGTGAATTGTTCATTTCTTACTGCTTCTTCTTTTTATGGTTTTCATGTTCTCTCTCTCTCTCTTTTTTTTATGCTGTTGAAGTTCTCACTAAGTTCATTGAGCATCTTTATAACCAGCGGTTTGAACTCTGCATCTAGTAGATTGCTTGTCTCCGTTTTGTTTAGTGCTTATTAGGGTATTTCAGTCCCATAGAATGGTCATTTGGAAGCATTAGTCCTTTTAAATTGCTCAGCTAGAGATGCTGACAATCTTTAAACTGGTTTAACCATTCTGTCATGGAGCAAAATACCTAATCATTTTAGTCTCTTGGTACCATAATTGATAAGGCAACACCTATCTGACGAATAGAACTGCCACTGCCCAGAGAGACCTACTGCCATTCTCCACCAACTTTGAACATCAAAGCAAGTTTGAATCAGACCTAAATTCACCACAGGCTCATAGTCATTGTAATCTTAACGTAATCACCCTCTTCCACAAAAGTTGTTAGCCGTGG